ATTATTATTATTATTATTATTATTATTATTATTTATATCCTGCCCTTTCCCCAAAACTGGGACTCAGTGGCTTACAAGATTAAAAACAGTAAAATTAAAAACAGAGAAGAGTGTTCCATTAAAACATAGGTAAATTATTACAGTATATTAAAACGGGTGGCATACTATGGCCTTCCCCTGAGGAGGCTGAGAGAGTGTGACTTGCCCAAGGTCCACCCAGTGGGTTTCAAACATGGCCGAGCCGGGATTCGAACCCTGGTCATAGTACAGAGTCATAGTACAACACTCAAAACCATTATGCCTCGCCAAACTACAGATCCCACAGGACAAGAGTCCTGTATCAATGAACATTTAGGTTTTATTGACAGGTTTATCCGTAAAAGAAAATAAGATTCCCCCTAATCCAGCAATGAATAAATAAGTTACAATAAGGGTGCCAGGTCTGGAGGAAGCTAGGATTTGGGAAAGGTTAACTTTTGCTCTGCCTTTCAGGAATAGGGAGAGATGCTCTTCTTGCAACAAATCCCACAAAAAACCCAAATTAAAAGAGGGAAAGAGATGAACAGGAGATGGCAGCCTTGGACCCTTCTTCCTAGTCTGTCCTTCCCTGAAACCCTGAAAAAAGAAACCTTCCAGATGTTCCAACCTGGAGCTCTTATGGCTAGTTATTCAGGGATATTTGGACTTCCTTTTAGGATGCGTAGGGCATAGATAGTGGTTTGAGCATTGGATTGCGACTCTGGAGTTTGTTGTTGTTGTGGAGACGTACTAAAACAAATGGCAATACTTGCCCATAGGGAAGCATTGGGGAAGACTTGCCCATTGGGAAACATAGGGCAAGTATTCTGTGTTTCCCTATGGACAAGTGCTCTCCTATGTTTCCCTATGGGGAAGTAGTCCCCAGTGTTTCCCTAAGGCCAATGTTTTCCTATGGTCAAGTATTCCCCTATGTTTCCTTATGGTCAGGTACAGTATTCTCCTCCATTTCCCTATGGACAAGGATTCCCCATTGTTTCCCTATAGGTAAGCAGTCCCCTATGTTTCCCTATGGGGAAGTATTTTCCAATGTTTCCCTATGGACAAGTAGTCCCAATGTTTTCCTATAGGTAAGTAGTCCCCTATGTTTCCCTATGGGAAAGTATTGTCCAAAGTTTCCCTATGGGCAAGTATTTTCCAGTATTTCCCTATGGGCAAGTGCTGTCATTTGGTTTAGTACGTCTTGGCGTATATGTTAACCCTAAAAAAAAACTTATCACGGGCTTTTCTTGGCAAGATTTGTTCAGAGGAGGTTTGTTCCCCTGAGGCTGAGAGAGTGGGACTTGCCCAAGGTCACCGAGTGGATTTCATGGCCAAGCTGGGAATCGAACCCTGGTCTCCAGAGTTGTAGTCCAACACTCAAACCACTATGCCATGCTGGCTCTTGTGACCAGGGTTCAAATCCCCACTCGGCCATGCAAAACTACTGGGTGACCTTGGGCAAGTCACACACTCTCAGCCCAGGCTGCAACAAATAAGTAAAATACAGATAGAGAAATACAGCACGGTTCTGAGATATATTGCAGAAGCGTACACATGACTGGGTGTACACTCTGCATTTGCGCCCACATCGGCTGCATCCTTGCCAAGCCAAAAGCCCTGCCAGCCCCACAGAAAAAAGGAAAGGGGAGGCGTTGGGCCCTCCAGAGACCTATGCATGCCAACCCAGGCGCCAGTACTATAATTCCTCCCAAGCTGTTTACACACCCATGTATGGACTAATTCAATGCACAGATGTCCGGTTGCTCCAGATGTGGGCCAAAGCATTGGAGGCGCACCATGCTCTATGGGGCCTGTCTTTTCGTTGCACCACTTTGTTCCTCTTCTCCCCATTGGTAGCCAGTGGCAAGGTTGGCAAGGGCTGTGGCTAGGCATCATGCCACCCTCCAGGCTTGGACAGCTGCAAAACTCTCCTTCTTCTCCCTGTTTGCCAATCCTCCTCGGAGCAGGTGGGCGCTTCCGCACCGGTTGCCAAATACCGATCCCACCGACCGCTCCCCTGCTCCCTGACCACAGCCTTGGCAAGGCATTTTTTAACTCGCTCAGCAGGTCGGTCGGTCGGTGCAAAGGATCTCCACCAGAAGAGATGCCAGGCAAGAGTCAGGCATTTCTGGGGCTTTATTGGTGCGTCCCTTCAAGTCGTTTCCTATCCTGGATTTTTCTTGGCCAGATTTGTTCAGAGGAGGGCTGCTGTTGCTTTCCCCTGAGGAGGCTGAGAGAGTGTGACTTGCCCAAGGTCACCCAATGGCTTTCCACGGCTGAGCTGGAATTCAAACCCTGTTCTCCAGAGAGTCATATGGTAGTCCAATGCTCAAACCACTACGCCACACTGACTGGCCCTACGCAGTGGTTCCCAAACTTTGGTCTTCCAGATGTTTCGGACTCCAGCTCTTAGAATGCCCAACTCTTTTGGCCAAGCTGTTTGGGGCTTCTGGGAGATGGAGTCACCCCCAAAAAAACAAAAACAAAAGCAACAACAAAGTTTGGGAACCCCTGGGACTCCAAGGCCTGAACCACTACTACACTCCCAAGTCTTCCCTGCAAGACTCAACCCCCCCCCTCCCCCAGTCTGCATGGAGGCTGGGGATTCTGGGCTTTGCAGTCCCCTTGCCAAGACCCATCCCAAGAGGGAGGGACCCCCACTCAGGCCAAGGGGGAGGGAGGCCAGAGAGCCAGAAAGCCCTCCTTCCCTGAGCTAAGCCAAGCCTCCTCCTCCTCCTCCTCCTCCTTGCCTTCCTTCTCTCTCTTGTCCAGCTCAGAGCCTGGCAGGAGCCCGACCAGGACGGAGGAGGGATGGGCAGCAGGAGAGGCTTCCCTGGCAGAGCCCCCCTTCCTCCTCCTCCTCCTGCCAGCCCCATGGACCCAGCCTGGCAGCCCCCTCGAGGGTCGACCCTCCTGGGCTGCCTCTGCCTTGCCCTCCTGGCCCTTCTCCTCCCAGGGGATGCTGCCAAGGTAGGTAGGCGATGGGCAGCCTCCAGGTGGGCACCAAGCCCCTGGGTTTGCCCATTCCCCTTCCCTTCCCATGCCAGGCTCCCAGTCTTTCTCTTCTCTCGCCCTGTGTGCCTTCTGGAGACCCTCTATCTATCACAAGGTTTTCTGGGCAAGGTTGGTTCAGAAGGGGTTTGTCTTTGCCTTCTTCCCCTGAGGCTGAGAGAGTGTGGCATTTGTGGCCATGTGCCTTCAAGTCATTTCCAACATATGGTGACCCTAAGCCAAACTTGGCATGGGGTTTTTTTCCTTGGCAAGATTTGTTCAGAGGAGGTTTGCAGTTGCCATCCTCTGAGGCTGAGAGAGTGGGACTTGCCCAAGTGGGTTGCCATGGCTGAGATGGGATTTGAACCCAGTTCTCCAGAGTCCTAGTCCAACTCTCAAACCACTTGTTGTTGTTGTGGTTGTGTGCCTCTGGGACACACTGGGAGCTGTACATTTCCCCAGCTTCGTATGAGAGTTCCTCTGGAGGGAGGGAAAAGTAAAGATCTCTGCACTTTCCAGGGGCTGAAATGGAGGAAAGCAGATTGTGAACTCTCTTTTGTGAATCTTTAGATCACTTTTTCACAATGACCAGCTGTATGCTGAACCTTCCTATTCATCCTTTCCTGGAACTTGAACTACAGGTCCCACCATCCCCTCCCTGCCAGTTGACCGGGGCTAATGGGTGCTGCAGTCCACTATGTCACAAAGGGTTTCTGGTTGGAAAAGACTGGTCTTTTTGTGTTTAAGGCTCAACCTTGGCATTTTAAGATGAAGAGCAGGTGGTCTCTGAGCTTGTGCAGAGAGCAACTCCTTCAACATGGAAGTACCGTACGTCCAGTCCCACCACGGATATATTTGTCTAGAGCAGGGGTAGGCAACCTAAGGCCCAGGGGCCGGATGCGGCCCACCGAGGCCTTTGGACCAGCCCCAGGCCGGTTCTGCCGCTGCCGCTGCCCGCCTCCGCCCCCCGCCATGATGATATTGATTATTGTTGGTATTACTTGTTCTTGGGGTTTTCTTGGCAAAATCTCCACAGGGGTTTTGCCATGACTTTTCTGGGGCTGAGAGAGTGTGCATGCATATTTTTTATTTTATTTTTTATTTTTTTAAAAATAATAATTTTAATTTTAATTAATTAATTAATTAATTTTTGGTGCTTCGGCCCCCCAATTGTCTGAGGGACAGCAACCCGGCCCCTGGCTCAAAAAGGTTGCCTACCCCTGGTCTAGAGATATTCTTCACCTTGCATCTGCAATTCAGGAGAGCTGTTGCTCATAGTGTTTTGTGTGGTACAAGACACAGTACCGGATTCGAGCAAATATGAGCCAAGGTGCTGTGGACTTCTTCATGTTTTTACATGCAGTTGGTCGCAAAATGTGCAGCTGGGAAGGGGGTTAGATGTGCAGTTCGGGTGGAGGGAAAGTGGATAGAAATACGACCCATGTTCCTGCACATTTGCTTGTTCAGAAGTTAAACAGCACGCAGTGTCTCAGTGTTTTGTCGCTTTTTGTTTCCAGTGTGAGGTTTCTGACAAAGCATTCCTGCAGCTGGGGAAAAAGAAATCTGCCTTAATAAAACCTGGGTCGATAACCACAGGCCAGAGAGGATGATGGCATGGCTGCCCATCCATGCGTTTGGGTGAGAGTAATGGGAAGGGGTGCCTTCCAATGTCGCAGCGCAGTCTGGCCTTGGCCTTGCTCCCGGTCAGTTTGCAGGGTTCACTCCAAACTCTTTCTCAGGCGGATGAGGCCGACTCACCCAATGGCTTTCTGGGGATAGAAAAGTAATGATTTTCACCAATACGCTGCCAAAGACGATCAAGGAGGATAGGGCCTTCGCCCACGCACGGCCGCCGTGTGGGGACGCCTTGCATCGGGGCAAGGGAAGCACCCTTCGTTCAGCCCCAAACCTCTGGGTGCCATTTCCAGCAAAGAATAGGTGTGGCTGGCTGGGGGTTCATCTTTGTGTGTTTGTGTGTGTGTGTGCTTGCAATGCACACACAAAGACTCCCTTCTGGCAGGGAGAGCTAGTTGGTTGTCAGGACTTAAGGAGAGTGTGGAAAAGTGACAACTCTCTGAATGCTAGGATCTGCTATTCTACGCTCTGCCCTTGGGTGCTATGAGCCAGAAATATGGTCACTTTTTTTAAAGTTGTTGAGCATGGTACTGTTGCATTTTGACCGCTGTGATTTGTGGGATTTGTGGCATGGGATGAGGTTCACTTTCATTTAGTTAAGGGGTGGGCACCCATTTGCTGCTCTGCCTCAGGCAGCAACATATCTTGGGCTGGCCCCATTGGTTGTTCATACCAGAGCAAAAACTTCTATCTGTCCAGATGTTTTGGCCTACAGCTCCCATGTTGTCAAGAGTAAGGGATTGTGGGAGTTGTAGGTCAAAATATCTACAGGGCAGTAATTTTGTGGCTCTGATATATAGAGTAGGAACCTTGCTTGGTCTTCTGCTTTCAGGAGGGTGAGCATATCCCATTCACCCACAACCCACATTTGTTGTAATTGTTGTTCTTGTGTGCCTTAAAGTCATTTCTGACTTATGTCGACTCTAAGGCAAAGCTATCATAGGGTTTTCTTGGCAAGTTTCTTCAGAGGGAGCTTGTCATGGGCATCCACTGAGGCTGAGAGAGTGTGACTTGTCCAAGGTCATACTTCCCAAGGAATGGGAAGCCTGGTGGAAGAGCTAACACTGCAGCAGATGGAAGTCCCCAATTGCATTTTCAGAGAATTTGACGCCCGTGCCAATTTGGCATTGCAGGGAAGCTGCAGCCCCTGTTACAAACCAGGGATGGGATCCAGGGATGCAGCTTTGGGGGCAAAATGCATTAATGTCCACTTGAGGTTGGACAATGCTGCCATCTTGTCTGTCAGGGCAAGGAACTGGGACCAGGGCAAGTGGCATCGAGAGTCGAATGTTTTCTGAAAGCCACCATGCAAATGCCAGCGGTCCTCGATGGTGGCACTTGGGTGTCAAATCATCATGGCAGGGAATTAAAATCCCTACTGTGCTTAAAGAGAAAGAGACTGGTAGAAGAGAGGAGACCAGCTTTCTCTCCTTCTTTTTCTCTCCTGGCACTGGTTATGCCAGTTTCATGGCACGTCTCTTTGCAACAAAGGTTTCCGGTGGAGGATGAAGGAAGGACACAGCAGGAACATAGCTGCAGGCTGTGTCTTGGGAAAGATGTTGGGGCCAGACTCAGGGCTGGGAAATGAGGACCAGCCCAGGAATGAGTGGCATGAGGGTTGTTGTTGAAGAGGATTTGTAGCACAAAATGGCCCTTGGATCAGGCCCTTGTGTGTGGCCCTGGGCTCCAGTCTGGTGCATTAGCTGAAAAACTGGGTCTATCCATCATCTCAAGTCTTCCATAATAACCCACAATGTCATTCTGGTACATTACA